GATGAGATGATAAACAAGGACATTTAATTGATATTGGATTTGTAATCAGATTTTAGCCAAAATTTTACACTGTTACAATGGACAAAAATTATGCTACGGAACTATATAAATCATATGATCAAAATCTGATATTAGTATGTACTAACCCATATACAATATGTTTATTATATTCTTTTTTTGTGATCAAAGAACTTATTATATAAAATTAAATCAAAAATACTTATCATAGATTTGTTTTTAAAAAAGTAAATAAATGTAAAGAATACTTTTTCCTTTAAATTTTTATGTTATCTATTATATTTGTCAAAATAAAAAATTAATATTTTAAATAAGCAAAAACAATAAAGAAGTAATCTTTAATTTGAAAGACTAATATAATTAATTTTTTATTAGTCCAGAGCGTTAGCGAAGGACTATATATGTCTATGCGTTGTGTTCTATTGTCTTCCCGCTCCTCATATCATGAGACTATTACATGGTTACACTAATTTCTAAATAAATTAGGTAAATATCCATCCCAATAAAAGTCATATCTAATATCTAAAATAATCTTTCAAAAAGAAATAAATATAAAAAAATTTTATTTTATTACAATTTTGTGTTCTTTCTTTGTCAAATGGATCAATTTATCAATTATTATTATCATTTAGAATAAATAAAACAAAATATAAACATAAACAATATAAACGTAACCCTTTCGTTCGTCTGAATTATTTTTTTTTGTTATTATTGAAGTGTTGTTGATGTAAATTTATTGTTCATTTTCAAGGTATCATAGACTTACTTTCCTGTAATCTTCTACAATTCTTAATATGTTGAAGTCTGCGATTGATCATTTTTTAATTCTGCTCATGATCACGTGTAATTTGTGAGAAGCTCTGGACTTAATAAGGGTTTCCGTTTCCCTAGTAATATACATTATATAATTTGTGATAATGTAATAAATGTGTTTTATGAAAATAAAAATAATAATGTAACTAGAAAAATCTTATGCAAGTATCAGAATATCTCTTAAATAATTTTCAAACCAAAAAAAATGTCTTTATTTACTGGATTTTTTAATTGATAAAAAAAAAATTATTATTTAAGCATTAATCTTTAAATAATTTGTTCTGAATCTTCAATATTGACTCATAGTTGTAAAATTGTAAGAATTTGCAAAAATGCAGAAAATATTATTTCTTCTATAATTTTTGAAATAAATATGAAACTTATTAACATATGATTGGCTAATATAAATTGTTATCAGGTGATACTAATTTACACATGTCGATCACTGAGTCAGTTATCAACTTAAAAATTTGCAGAATAAAATTTTTGTAAGACATTCATTATTACATTTTATTTTAATACAAATTAATGTCTCATTAATACATATATAACAAAATAATACAATAATTAAAATAATATTGATAATATATTACATCATCTAAAAAAAATTACAAGGTTTTAATGTTACAATTTTAACGTAATATACTTATTGATGATATCTATCAATTCGTTGGATATCTTGTAAAATGTTGTTCATCAAGCGAACACCTGAAGGGTAATTTGGTTTCAATTCAAGGAATTTATTAATATCATTCAAGGCTAAATCTAATTGACCCAATTTCCAATATGTATATGAACGTTTCTTTAAAGAATAAAAGTGATCATTTTGAAGTATTAGAGCTTTATTAAAGTCCTCTAAAGCTTCTTCATATTTATGAAGTTTCAAATAAATGTCTCCTCTTTTACTAAAAACTTTGGCAAAATTCCTTTCACCTTGCATCTGTTGCGTCACACTTAAACCTTTATCATAACCACCATGATTTCTTTTAACGTTAGGTTCATGATCATCTGAATCAATATAAGTGGAATCTAATGGTTCTATCTCTAATGATTTATCGAAATCAGATAAAGCTTCTAAGTATCTTCCGAGCTTTCTAAAAACATTTCCTCGAATTTCAAGTACAAAAACATTCGTGGCTTTAATTTTCAACGCATGATTAAGGTCTATTAAAGCATCATCTATAGGTTACGAAAAAAAAATGGTCAGCTTTTTTTTTTTTTTTTTTTGTTCTTTAATAAAGAATAAGTAATATTCTTACCATATCGATGGAGTTTACAATAAAGTTCCCCTCTAGAACAATAAGCGTATGAATTTCTTGGAGCAATTCTAGTAGCTTTATCTAAATCTGATATTGCTTCCTGTGGTCGTTTCATTAAATAATGAATATCAGCTCGAAGTAGCAAAGTATTGACATTCAAAGGTTCTATAATTAATGCTTTATCAGCAAGACTTAATGCCTCCGTATATTTTCTCAACCGTCGATAAATGTCAGACATTTGTTGTAAAGCAATTACATTATTTGGTTCAAGTTTCAAAGCAAAATTAACATCGTGCAATGCTTCATCTTTACATTAAAAGGGAAAAAAAATTACATGTTGATAAGACACATTAGGTAATTAATGAATTAAAAGGTAAAAAAAATTATATATATGTACCATATCTCCGTAATTTAACATAGAGTTCAGCGCGATTCCCAAATGGGCTAACTTTAGTAGGATGAAATCCTAAAGCATTATTAAACGACTTCATGGCGTCACTCCAACGTCTCATGTCTAGATAAATAGCACCGCGAAGTCCATGTTGATAATCACTATTTGGTTCGAGGAGGCAAGCTTTTTCCAAATCCTCTAAAGCCTCGTCAGGAAACATCAACATCCGGAATGCTCCGCTACGATTTCTCAACGCAATTGCATTATCTGGTTGAAGTTCCAAGGTCTTTTTAGTCGTAGAATTTAGATGATTTGAAAAAGTTAATGAAAAAAGCATACGTGACGCGATAATTAAGACAACAAATAATTACGATACGTGAGACTAGACGGCAATCGGAAATACATTACCTTGGTGAGATCAGAGACAGCTTCTTGATATTGACCGTTATCAAGATGAATCACTCCGCGAGTTCCGTAAGCTAACGCTTTGTCGGTCTTGAACTTGAATGCCATTTTAATATCTTTTTTCGCAGTTTCGTACCTTTTTAATTCTCGGTTAACATCTGCACGATTGATGTAGGTAAACGCATCAATTGGACCTACTTTAATGACCATATTCAAATCCAATAAAGCTTCTTCAAAATATCTCAACATGTAGTAACAGAAAGCGCGCCATTTATAAGCGAGACTATTTTTAGGTTCGATTTCAATGGCCTTATTGAGATCGGAAACAGCCTCAACATAAGATTTTTGTAAACTTTTAATCATTCCTCTAAGGCACCAAGCTCTCGTTTTATATGGTTTAAGACTTATGGCATAATCCAAGTCATTTATTGCGTCTTCATAATTTTTAAGTTCGCGAAATGATTCTGCCCGGTCACATATTGTATTATAACTATCAGGATAGTCTTCGAGTAATTTAGTACACCATATAATTACTTTTTCATCGCTTTCAAATAATTGAGCTTTAAAAATTTTAAATTTTGCCGGATGGAATGCTTTGGGTCTTTTAAAATTTTGTTTTAATTTTTTTAATTTGAAAAAAAAATTGAAAGCCTTCTCATTTTCTTTTGGAATGGTTCGATTGGAATTAATAACAGCTAATAAGCCACAAACCCAAAAAGGCGAACCATGTACTTTGGAGGATGCGTTGGATAAATTTTCGCTGTCGGTCTTCTAAATAACGCAATATCGCGAAGATAAGTAAAGAATTTCTGTAAAAAAATATTAAAATAGCATGTATGTGTACCTTTTTTAATTTATTTTTTAAGAAACCTTTCATTGTGAATAATAAAATAACGAAGAATTTCTTTTCTTTTGTCCGATTAAAAAAAAAATTGAAATCCTCTTATGGAAAGGAAGGAAAATAAAGGAAAGTAAAGTAATGGAAAGGAAAATAAAGTAAAGGAGAGTAAAGCAAAGGAAAGGAAAGGAGTATATGAAGTATATATATAATGGTTTTGTAAAAATTAAAAAAGTTACATAATCCAATTTGCAAAAGAAACTTCTCTTTTTTTTTTAAAAAAAAAAAAAAATCTCCAACTTTAATCTAATATTTCAAAAAAAAAACCAGTTTGCTTGTTTACTTATGGAGTCGTTTATAAGCAT